TCCCTGAGACCAGGAACGACACATGTACACGTGTACTATGAGACACACGCATATTCGTATATACATGGATGTGCAAAACAATACATACAAAACACATGCCTATCACACATGGGTCATATGCATCAAATAATAGTGGTAGCCATTTGCCAAGCTCTGAACTAGGAGTTTTACATACACTTACTGTTTCACCCTTACAACAAACTTACAAAATAGGGAGAGACATTATGAAGAGGGGGAGCATTATCCCTGCAGTTGCTCCATGGATTCTGAGTGGAGGCTGGGGAGGGGGAACCCCAAAGAAAAGGCTCTCAGCAGCAGCTGGGCTCAGCAGGTTTTTAAAAACTGCTTCATGGAGATGTAATTGATGTACACTAAACTGCACTTGTTTAAAGTGTCCAGTTTGTTGAGTTTTAACATACGTGTACACCCATGAAATCATTACCACATCAAGATAAGGAACACATAGGCCATTGAAAACATCTACTAAAAATAAAAAGATAAGGAACACAGCCATGCTGCCAAATGTCCCCTTGTGCTACTTGATAATCCTGCCTCTCTACCCTGCCATCAGAGGCATCCACTTATCTGCTTTTTGTTTGTTTGTTTGCTGTTGTTGTTTGTTGCTGCTGCTGTTGTTGTTTGTTGTTATTGTTGTTTCTTGCTCTGTTGCCCAGGCTGGAGTGCAGTGACGTGATCTTGCCTCACTGCCTGGCCCATTTATCTGCTTTTGATTACTACAGCTTCATTTGCACTTTCTAGAATTTGATAAAAATGGAAGGAGAGGAAGCATTTTGAAGGGAAAGGAGGCCCTGCAGTTGCTCCATGGATCGTGTACTGCTTTTTTTTTTTCTTTTTCCTTGAGATGAAGTCTTGCTCTTGTCCCCCAGGCCGGAGTGCAGTGCTGCAATCTTGGCTCACTGCAAGCTCCATCTCCTGGGTTCAAGCCATTCCCTTGCCTCAGCCTCCCGATGAGCTGGGATTATAGGCGTTTGCCAACAGACCCGGCTAATTTTTGCATTTTTAGTAGAGACGCGGTTTCTCCATGTTGGCCAGGCTGGTCTCGAACTCCTGACCTCAGATGATCTGCCCGCCTCAGCCTCCCAAAGTGCTGGGATTATAGGCTTGAGCCACCATGCTCCGCCTGCTTTGTTTTTAATGTGCTAATTTCACTCACATCATTACTGTGGAATTCACCTATGCTGTTACTCACTTCGGTAGTTCATTGCTCTTTACTGCTGAGTACTATTCCATTGTGTAGATGTACTACGGTGTTTAGCCACCCACACAGCAGGGGTTATTTTTCTCTTTTGCTTCCATTTCTACCTGTGGATGTGAACCTCAACAATGTGTGATGTTGCCTTTCACCAGCACATATTCTATGAAACCAAGAGTCAAGCTGCGTCTGAGGCTGGCCTGAGCACAGTGGGCATCTTTTCTAGGCAGGGTACCTGTAGCCAGTGCAACTCTCTGCCCTTCGCCCCAACTGTCCCCTTCCCTGAAATGGCCTACCCTCCCCTGCACTATTCAGAGGCCATTCAGCTTCTTCCAGGCAGCCTTTCCAGACCGTCTGGGTCTCTTATGAGCGTTTCCAGCCCTCACAGCCTGACGGCTCCAAAGCTCTCGTCCTGTTCAGTTGTTCCCGTCTTGTCTCCTTGGTGAGGACAAGGTGAACTCCTCCTCGTGCCACCCCCTCCTAGTGAGCCTGGCAGGCAGGAAGCTGCTCCAAAGGGGGCCTGCAGGCTGAGGCACAGGGTGTCTGGCCAGCCCGGAGCTGTGGAGACTGCTGTCTGGGGCCTCCGGGGAAGTGAGGAGCAGAGATGCAAAGTGGTGCAGAGGGATGCAGACCAAAGCCAACACCGCTGGGTGGAGGGCCGGGCCTCGTCATCTGCCTTCTCTCCGTCTTCCATCTCCTTCCTGGAAACCCCTCCTCCTCCTCTAGGGAGGCCCAATGCCGAGCTCTTTGCATCATTAAATTCCTGCCTTGGAGGACCAAAATTTGAAACATCGCAGAAGGCCTCTGTCACGTTTTGTGGCTTTCTATGGCTCCACCCCCTTCTCCTCCATTCTTCAAGGCTCTCTTTCCCCAAGATGACAGAATGAGCGGGCTCCACTTCCTGAAGGACAGGGCATGGATCTTGGGGGCTCCACCTGAGCCCCTAGACCCTGAGGCTGTGTTTTAATTAATGCTGCCTGTGCTGCTGAGACTTGTCTTGGAGCCACAGAGTAGAGGCCACCCATTGTGCCAGAGAGGGAAGCGTTGTCTTCCCCAAGGTTACAGAGCCAGTTAGTGATGGCCCTGAGGACAGGATCTGTGCATGTTTCACGTCTGTGTCTCCAGTGCTCAGGACGGAGCTTGGCATTCAGCAGACATGTCATAAATATTTATTGAGTAAAATAAATGAACAAACCAAGGATGGTGGAGTGCCAGTGAGTGGTGGTGGAGGGCAGTGGTAAAGGTGCTGTGCTACCATGGCAGGTGGTGAAAGGCAGAGGGTGGTGGTAATACCAGTGGGGAGAGGAGGTGGGAGAGGGTGGAGGTGGGAGGTGATGGGGAAGGTAGAGGGGAGAGGTGGTGGATGGTGAACCAGTAGAGCATGGTGGGGATGGTGGAGCGGGAGATGGTGAGAGATGGTGGCAGAAGGATGGTGGCAAGGGGTGGCGGCAGTGGTGGAAGTACTGGGCTCCGGGTGACTTCTGTTTATGCCCAGCCTCTGCCCTTCCCTAGGGGACCCTGATCTGGCTCTCGGACCCGTCAAGTTCTCTGACACTGTGGCCTGTTCCTTTGCAGACTCCATCGGAGGCCCCTTCCCTGTCACCTCTCACCGATGCCACCACAAGCAGAAGCACTGCCCACCGGTGCTGCCAGGTGGGGGGCTCCCAGCCACACCGCTGCTCTTCCACCCACACACCAAGGGCTCCCAGATTGTTATGGACCTCAGCCACAAGGCCGTCAAGAGGCAGGCCAGCTTCTGCAACGCCATCACCTTCAGCAACCGCCCAGTCCTCATCTACGAGCAAGTCAGGCTGAAGGTGGGCCTGCCTCCCCACTCCGCCCCCGTCCCTGCCCCCCACACCCACCCCCTCACGCTTCCTGCTTCCCTCACTGCAACTCCCGGGCCTCTGGACTCTGTCCCTCAGCCACTGCCTGTTGCCACCCTCACCGCCACACCCTGCCCTCGCCTTTCCTCTCTGTTGCCCCTCTTCCTTCTTTCTTATGCCTTTCTCAACCTCCCTGTGTGACAGGGAAGGAACCGGGAGGGCGGTGGCCACGGGAACCCCTTGCTGTCTTCCCAGCAGGGAGGGCTTCGGGGAGGGAATGGTGCTGGAATGCTGGGCAGGCTGCCGTGGGACACTCCAAGGAGCCCACCCAAGGGGGGCTGCCCTTGGTCCGACTGACCAAGTGGGAGAGGGTAGGCTGAGGCCATCCCCTGCCACCCAGATCACCAAGAAGCAGTGCTGCTGGAGTGGGGCGCTGCGGCTGGGCTTCACCAGCAAGGACCCGTCCCGCATCCACCCTGACTCGCTGCCCAAGTACGCCTGCCCCGACCTGGTGTCCCAGAGTGGCTTCTGGGCCAAGGCACTACCCGAGGAGTTTGCCGATGAGGGCAACATCATCGCGTTCTGGGTGGACAAGAAGGGCCGCGTCTTCCACCGCATCAACGACTCAGCTGTCATGCTGTTCTTCAGCGGGGTCCGCACGGCCGACCCGCTCTGGGCCCTGGTAGATGTCTACGGCCTCACGCGGGGCGTCCAGCTGCTTGGTGAGTGCCTGCCCCTCTGGCCCCTTGGTGCAGGGGATACCCCTCAGCCTCTGGGCACTGCAGCCTGACACTGTTCAACCCCATCAGGCGTAGGGAGCCCTCCCTGATGGCGCTAAGGGGAACAGGGGCAACCCTGGGAGCCTTCGTGTGAACTGCAGAGAGCGCCTTTCCTCCAGGCCCGAGGCTTTACAAGGGAACCTGGGTGTGATTTCTGCTCTCTGTAGCATCTCAGGTGGTGCTTTGGGCAGTGTGCACCCGTCACAGTCATAAGTGGCGGCCTCAAAGACCATCACTCCAGAAGTAATTAAATTAATCGTTACAACACAACCACAGTTCACAGAGCACTTACTATGTGCAAGGCACTTCATTCTTGGACTGTTCTTACAGCAACCCTGGGAGGGAGATCCCTCGATTGGGTAGAAACTCACGTCCAGGGAGGTTGCATCATGGTCTCAGGTGCCCCGGCCCCGGAGGGGTAGAGCCAGCCCTGAGTCTGGTCCAGCTCCAAAGCCAGCTCTCAGCCCCTGGGCTCTGCAACTTCCCAGGAGGCTGGGTTCCAAGCCCACCTAGTGCTTTTTCCAGGGATGTTGGATGAAAGGGTGGGATTTGGGGGCAGAAGGCACTGGGGGAGCTAAGACTCTTGGCTGCTCCTGGGTCCCCAGTGTAAGTTAGGCTCTTTCAGGACAGTGAGAGAGCGAGGAGGAGGAGCCTCAGGAGGCATCCTGGCACACTCAGGAGCCAGCTTCCCTGCTACGGCACACATGCCGGGTCTGGAAGCGGACAGGAGAATCTCTGACTTCCTAGGGTCACACAGTGAGTTGGTGGTTAAGGTGGGATTAGAACTCAGATTACCTGACTCCCAGACCAGGCTCCTTCCCACCTGGCTCTCCTTGTGCATGGGCCCTCAGGTGCACATGGGCACACGTAGATCTGGCTACAAATCAGGCCATCGGCAAACTGGTTTTGTCTCCAGGTGAAGGCTGCACAAGCCTCAGCCTCCTTGTCTGTGAAATGGGTTGGTGGGAAGATTAAATTCCGTCATGGAGGCTGTGAGTAAAGTGCCCAGCACAGTCCCCAGTACCAAGTATACGCTCGAGCGACACTTATTCCTTCCATCCCCCATCTCTACCCGCCTCTCCCTGCAGAGAAAGAGGCCATAAAGGTGGTTGAAAAACTTTATTTTTCCTTTCTGACTTCAGAGTTTAGAAACAGCGAAGGTCTTCTTTCCACAACACCTTTATTTGAGCAAAAAGTCAGTGATGGTAAAAACAAAGAAATGAGTCAGAAGCCTTACTGTTTGTTGCATTCGGAACATCAGGAAGCTGTTTTTATTAGCTGGTAGTTTGGGAACTTTCTGTTTTTTGACTCAATAAAAGTGTTTCTACATTCACAATGACAAGTTAAGAGCCTGGAACTGGGCTGTTCTGGGTCTCAGCAACTGCAGAAGGGAGCCCAGGTGCTTTGCGTTTTCTCTGTGAAATGGGTGTACCTGCAGCTGGGGGCAGAAAGGGCCGTGCTCTTGCCCCTGGGCTACAGAGACTGGCAGAGCCTAGCCTTGTGCTGTACTAGGGGTGGGGCCTCAGTTTCTGCATCTGTAAAGTGGGGCTAAATGCTTTCTCAGGGTTCTTTGGAGGCTCAAAAACTGACTTGAGGAGCAGCTGATGCACAGTAGGGAGTCAGTGGCTGTCATTCGTTCCCACCCATGCTAGGGAGGGCAGTTCTTAACTCAGGCTAGAGCGAATGCCTCGGTGTTGCTCTCATGTCCTCAGGGCCCCAGACTTCAAGGCACGGGAGTCCCAGAGCTTGAGTTTAAGCTCTAACCTGACCACTTCTGCCTGAGCCTCAGTCTTCCCATCTGTATAATGGTTTTGAAGGCTCTGACTTAGCCCAGGACTCAACCGCATGGTGGAAGACAAAGAATGTCTCTGCTCCTGAGGAAGCCACAGTCTTGTTGAGGGGTGGGCAGGTGAAGACAGTGGGGCAACATTCTTGCTTTTCGCTAAGCAAAAAGTGCCCTTCCTTACAGTCCCCACTCTGGCTTCAAGGCCAGCCCCAAAGCCCCCTCCTCCTTGAAGCCCTCCTGCTTGGAATTCTCTTCTCCATCCTGTGTGCCACTAAGTGGTGCTGGTGCTTCTCTCAGTTCTGAGCATTGGTAGAGCCTTGGTCCTCTTCCCTGCAACACTGGGAGGAATCCACATCTCATCCAGTTGGGCAGCTCTCCAGGGTGGAGGCTTCTGCCTGACCTGCAGAGGATGCGGAGGTGGGTAGGGGAGAGTAGTGGGGGGTACGAATAGGAGGATGGATGCCTTGTTAGATGAAGAAAAGGGCAGATAGGTGGGGCCGAGGTAGACCCAGCCCTGCCCACAGACAGCCCATGCTCAGGGGGAAGTTAGGAAGATGAAGCAAACACTCCAGACAATGCCAGCACTCCAACCCAAGAGTAGCCAGTAAATTGCTAACTGCTGTGGTCATGGGAGCCCTTCCATCTGCCGAGATGGTTTCTATCCAGTTATCTCATTTAACCCCTCCAAGGCAGGCCCCACAGGGAGTGTTTTTTATCCCCATCTGGCAGGGAGATAACTGAGGCCCACGCAAGGCCTGGCTTGCCCATGTAGGGATGTGGCAGAGCCGGGACTTGAACTGGGTGTTCTGATGCCAAAAGCAATGCCTTTCCCATTACCCTCCAGCTGGTTTAAACATAAAAGGAGGCAGGAAGTCGGAGGAGGCTGAGGTCAGTGGGGGAGGATGGAGGCCAGGAGGGCTTCTTGGAAGAGAAGGCTTGGGCTGGGCCTGCAAGTTCCAGGAGGGTCCTGGCACATGGGAATGAAGTGGAACATGCCAGGTGGCATGGGGCGTCCCACCCTCAGGGGCTGAGGAGGGCGTGGAGAAAAATCTGAAAGGCCCACCCTGGGCCAGAGCCCAGGTGGCCTAACCTTCCAGCCCCATCCCCTGTGACTATAAATGGGTTCGCATGCAGTGTTTTCAGTTGCATTTGGAGGCCCCGACAGGCTCCTCTCTGTATACCCGATAAGGCTGAGGCCCAGTTGATTCTGTCCCAGCCGTAACTCACCATAATCCCTGGGTATTTTCAAACACTGATTATGGCCCCTAAATTTCGATTGGCAGATTAAGATATCCCTTCATTTTATTCTTCCTGATTTTTTTTTTTTTTTCTGGTAAAGAGACAGAGACACACAGAGATTCATCCAGAGATCTCCTGAGGTGGGCATGATCTCTCCACCTTTGTTCTGCACCCGTCCTCTGAGATACTCCCCTCTACCCCAGGCAGCCTCAGGGTCAGCCTCCTTCCCTGCCTCCTCTTCCTCTCTGCCCCACTTCCCACCCCTCCCTCTCTCCATTGCCTGCCCCTTCACTGCATCTGTATCTTTCTGGGCTGTTCTCGCTCCCTCCACCTAGATCCTCTTGCACTTCTTGCTTTCCCTGGTCTTGGTGTTCTTCTCCCTTCTGCTGTCTCTCCTCTGAAGAAGGTCGCTGTCTGTCTTGGTGGCTCTGAGGCTGGGTCAGTCTTTCCTTGGGTGATTGTCCCCCAAACCAATGTCTGATCTTCGGGGATTTTCTGCCAGGCCTGTCCCTGTCCACTCTGGAACCTGTGGTCAAAGCCCTCCCAACCGCAACTGCTCTGTGTTTGTTCCTTCGACCAGAAGCTTCCCAGGGTAGCTGGCACAGAGTAGGTATGAAAGGCAAGTCATGGGTGGATGAGTTGTGTCCCCAGACAGAGTAGAGGCAAGGGCTAGTGTCTCCCTGGCCGATGGTCCTCCCTGCCCTGACCAGAATCCAAGCCCACAATGGTGCCCATGCCACAGCCACAGCAGGCTCTCCTCCCCGTTACGCTGGAATTCAGCAGATCACCTCTCTCTTTGGGGCACCCTGGCCTAAGCCCAGGCTAGTATCTCCAAGAATAACAGCTTCCGACCTCCAGGGAGAAGGACTCGCCAGCAACTAAATAAACACAGGTTTTTATGGGGTGATTAATACATGGAGAAAGAAGCTGCTATCCCTGTGTCTCAAGGTCTCCTTGATCCTCTCAGAAATGTCGATTCAGGAAGAGCGCTGTGAGTCCCAGCAAGAGGCTGCTAGGCCAAGAGCCCACTTATGGGGTGCTCCAGAGCATCCCTTAGTGTCCACCACAGCCTAGGCACTATGTGAGGACAGGTGGGAGACAGAAGAATCGAAAACCCAGCCACTCTCCTGGAATAGTGTTTTCCCTGGGGATCGTATAACTGATGCAAGGTGGTCCAAGTTCAGTTCTGCAATCAGGTGTGAGCTGAAGAGTAAAACTGTGTGTATATGTGGGAGGGGAGTGCAGCTGGAAAGTAATCCAGGAGGACTTCCTGTAGGAGACAAGTTTTAAGGAACCAAGCAAGGTGAAAAGAATGGATTGGTTGAGGAACAATTTAGCTCAGATGGAGGGGTGTCCACAGGCACAGAGGTGGGGAATTGGCAGCCGGAAGGGGAGCAGATCCGGGAGGGGAAGGAATGAAGTGGAAAGGTAGTGGGTGACTTGTGGAGGTGAGGGGTGTGCACAGGTGTGAGTATATGTATGCATCACAGGGGAGAGAGCCATGAGAGTCCAAAGCTTCCAGCAGCTTCTGTGCTATCAGGATGTTCAGTAAGTGGGACTGGCTGGTTGACAGTGGAGAAGTATGAGACCCAGAGATGGGGAGGGGCCTGCCCAAACTCTCCCAGCTGCTCATCAGCCAGGCCAGGCCTGGAACCCAGATCTCTCAGGCTGACCTGGGAGTAAGGTCACAGGGAGGAGGTTATCAACACATCTAAATGGTGGGGCTGGGCCCTGGAGGGTTCTAGGAGGGGATGAGGTGGGGGCTTCCGAGGGCTTATGGCATTCTGTTCCATCTCTCACCATGCACAGCTTCCCAGGTCTTGGTAAAAGACCCACGCCTGCCTACTGAGGAGAGACTCTCAGGGTGGGCTTCCGAGGGTCACGGGCTGCTGGGTGGGTTATAGGGCCTGGGTCAAGT